CTGGTGATTGAAAAAATAAAGAAAAAGAAATGAAAAGGCATAGATATTTGCAAACTTAAATACTCTATTGACAAGCTGCTCTTGTAAACCACACTATATAAGCAATTTAGCTATATCCACGGTTAAGTTTCAAGAAACTATTCACTGAGTATTTATTTGCACCAAGCATTTTTCTAGGAGCATAAAAGATGGTTTAAAAGGTAAACGAATGGTTTCTATGTTCAAAGAATTAACAGTCTTATTGAGGACATAAGATTTACATGCATTAGTAACATAGAAAACAATGTGTTTCAGTCTACACATGGGCCAAATGTATCTTACAGACACTATTCAAAAAATTTTTAAATTTTAGTATGTGTAAAAATTATGTATAGAGCCAAGTCAACATGAAGATTTTCAAGACACATTTTGACCCAGTAGGGCAGGTAATCTATTTTTGTTGAGCATCTCAGATTATTCACATGCAGTTGGCATAAAGAGCACCTCAGGCAGGTGTATGTAAAGTCAAAAATCAGGGATTTGGGCAAAGAGTAGAATTGTCAAGACTGATTTATAGAGGGCAGTAAATTTGTAATGAGTCTACAAGTTCATGGATGGGATTTAAAGACCGAGAAGGAAGCACACTCTTAGAAGAGGGAAAGACCTGAATAAAAACTCAGATTTCGTAGTGAAAATGGCCTGAGAAAGAGACAACCAGAAAATAAGCCTGCAAGAATAAGCCTGTATTGGAATAGATGCATTAAAAACTAGTTTCCAGGTCAGTCAGTGGTGTGGTGGTTAATGGGCTGGAGCCCACATGACCAACTGTGTGGTTTGTGTTCCAGACTTGGTAGCTTGAGAAACATGAACAGCATGTGGGCAGTGAGCCCAAAATCCCAAAAGGAGAAATGGAGAAGAAGAAATTGTGGCATAACCACCCATCATGGGTTTGGGGTGGGGGTTCTTTTTAACTATCCCTCTCCCTCTGTCTCTCTTTGGTAAGAGCATATTATTGGAGAAAGAAAAAAATAAATCAATAGTTGCCACTCTTCTCATGTTGATTGCTACAAGTCAAATATCTTAGACAATCTACCTTCTTCCTTTTTTAAATTAATTTTTATTCAGTCAAAATATAGTTAAAGATACAAATGAAAAACACATGACAAATTAACAATTATGTTGAAATTATTGGGATGAATAGAAATGTCATCATGCATACTTTAATCCTAATAAACATATATAATTAACCAATTTATGAAACAATCTGTTACACAGCAGAATTTAGCTAATTTCATAATGAACATGGTCTATTTTTCACTCTCTCTTTTACATTTTTCTGTCTGTCAAATGATTCTTTCCCTTTTACCTCACACCAACCCTCCACCACCAACTATCCACCATCCATTCTTCCCACTACAGTCTCCATCATTTATATCTATCTTCTCCACCACCACATTTTCAAGTTTCTCAACTTCTGCCATAGCACTCAGTACAAATTGAGTGGGAATTGTTTTTTTATTTGTGGGTAAGCTGCTTGAGTTCCCTGTATAGACATGGAATCATTCCAAATGTCTAAGAATAGATGAGTGATTGAAAAAATGTGGGACATCTACTCTATGGAATACTACTCAGTCATAAAAAACTGATTTCATAAAATTTTCGTACGTGAACAAACTACCAAGAGCCAAGAATTATCACTGTATAAGTTTATGTAACAAATACCAATAAAATTCATTTTGATAAAAAAAAAACAAATCAATGAGACTTTGATATTTATAGAAAGTGGATGAATATGAAAGATTTCATGCTAAATTAAGCAAGCCAGACTATGAAAGACAGGCATCGTATGTCCCTGCTCAATAGGTACCAAATACCTACCCTTTATAGTAGTGACTGAAAGATTGGAAGGTATAATTGCGAATAGGGCAGTTATAGATACTAGAGACAGTGTGTGTATGTGTGTAGGGGGGTACTAGAGTGTGGGTAGTAGTGAGCGGAAGGGATAAGATCGGGAAAAAACAAATGACACATTTAATGTACACGAAAATGAAAAGTTATCTGCTGATGATAATTTATGTGGTACTGGCGTTGACTTGACTAATATTCACCATATTCATGCTGATAAAAACCATATTGTACACTGTAAAGATGTACAGTGATTAAATGTAAATAAATTAAAAATAAACAAATAAAAAGAGACATACTAAGAAAAAAAAATTGAGTGGTGATATACAATGTGTATCTTTCAAAGCCTGTCTCATGTTTCTCAACATGAAGTCTTCTATATTCACCCATTTTTAGTCAGATGATAGGATCACATTTTTATAGCTGTATAATATTCTATAGTATATATGTGCCCAGTTTCTCAATCCACTCATCAGTTTTTAGACACTTAGGGTAATCCACTCTAGGTTTTTTGATATATACTTCTTTCCCTCTGTACTTAAACCTAAGTTTTATATAATTTATAAAACAGTCATAAGGTTCAGTGTCAAGCCCAAGGCCACAATCCCTAAACTGATCAAACCAGGTGTCTACATACAAATTTGAGTTTTGATAATCTCATGTTCAGTGTCAAATAAATAGTCATTAGGGAAGACATACGACATAGTACAAAAAATATTGCCTTAGGAGACAGAAAGAACTAGATTGAAATCATTGTTATGCCAGTTAATACATAGGATATTGTGCTTGACCTCTATGTATTTTTGCTTCCAAATCCATGAAATATAAATGATAATAATAATAATAATAGGACATACGCACATAACTTGTATTGGGTTTTGAATAAAATGAGGTGATGAATATAAATCCATTGGCACACAGAAAACAATGAGTGAATGAACAATATTTGTAAAGAACATGTTTAAAAAGAACTAACCCATGATCATTTATTCAATGGTGTGATTCAATTTATAGATAAAATGTAACACAATTGTAAAGTGGTAAGAGAGGCTTATGTTTTTTTCTGTACAAACAATAGGTGAAATTTGACAGTTGTGGCTATTTGCCTTACATGTTGGACTGGTTAAGTGATGTATTTTGAAGGACACCTTATGAAATGTTCGGATGAAGCCCCAAAGTTTTCTTTATAGTTTCACTTTTGATGATGTTTGCAGAGGCATCCCAGCTCATATCAGTCACTCATGTTTAGTGTGAATTATCTTGCCAGGTCTTTTCTCTCTGTGACATTGGAGAGAAAACATCTGAGCAACAGGAGATGGACTGAACATAAAGAGAAGGTGGATCCAATTTGTAATAATGGATTCCCACAGAAGACTGAGCTGGCTGGAACCTCAGGCCATAATAGGCCCCGGAGCCTTCCTCTAGTGAGAAATGGGCACGAGAAGAGAGAAAATAAGACACAAAAAGGAGGCATGACAAATGTCAAGTGCTTTTCCTTTAGCCTCTGTCTGTCTGGTTTAAGTGCCACAGTTTCCTGCATGCATACGTCCTCATTTCCGTTAAATGTCACACAAATGCCTTTTCATTTTTTGGTGTCATTTCACAAAGTAAAATCCTCTAAGATGAAAAGTGAGGTTTAAATGGTCTCACCAGGTGGCTTAAGGAAATATGAGAACAGAAATGCTTTCTTCAAAAACTAGTAAAAAAAAAAAAAAAAGTCATACAATGAGCTGTACAGGACATTATTTAGGAGAAAATTGCAACTGATTTGAGTAATTCGATTCCTTTAATGTGTTTTTAAACATCTTTTATTACTACTGTTTATTTTTGGTTACTATTTATTATTATTATTTATAATTATGCTTTCTTTTATCTGAGGTATTCAAGATGTAATGCACCATACTGATTTGGAAATTCTTTTCCCGTTTACTATTCTGATTTTCCTGAATCACTCTTTGTAATATATTTTTAAAAATTTACATATTTTAGAGGAAAAAGAATATTTACTCATTTACATTAATATGGTGAAAGAATGTCTTGGGTAGGAAAATAAAGCTGAGTTACATTAGTATGGAATTAGAAATAAGGTCTAAATGCTAATCATAGATTATGTAAGTGTAAGGTTGTACATGTCAAGAGAAATTGACTATAACTTATAGGAGGCTGGGAACGTGTTTTGTTTATAACTAAGGTATGATGGTTGTTTAGTTGAAGTTCATAGGATGATTAATTTGCAATACAAGGAGAATCAAATCAGAGAGGCTCTCTCCTGAGAAGCTTCCAAATAAGTCTTCCAGCACTGGTGCAGCAGTCCCTATTTTCACATATGTTCATATGTGCACACTTACATACACACACGCACACACATGCACACGCACCTTGGATAACCCTAATGATTCGACTCTCTGCAGATTTCCTGATAATTATATAGTCAGTATCAGCACAATAGTATCAGCTCCAGCCTGAAAAAGAAAGGGAAAGGCTTATGTTGGACTTTGTGGTTACTTTTCGTTTTCTGTCAAAGGAGTCAATAGGGTCCAAGAAATACACAGAACTTTGCTTTCTAATAATAGGGAAAAATGTGTACATTTTGCAGACAGTGCCTCAATCTGTTATCTGAGAAGCCCCAGAAAATTCCATTTGTACTCGAAGAACTTTCTCTCTCTCGCTACCATACACTGAAGGCAGCCTGTGGAGACCTGCTCAAGATACCATTGCAGTGGTCACTACTCTGGTTAGGGAGTCTGGAAGTCAGGGCCCACCAAAAGGGGCAACAGGACCTTTCATGGGCAAACTCAATCAACTTCACACTTTTGCCTTTTCCTAGACCTGTCCAATCTATACTCTAGTTAATGTGAACAAAGACATAGACAAAGAATGGCTTTACCTTTCAGAAATCACAAGAGCAAATGGTCTTTGATTTCTCAGAAACACTTCTGGGCTTATCTCTTTGTGTTCATTATGATAGTAAAACAATAAAAAATGAGATTTAATTTTAACTAATGTTGATCAGTCTAGGGCAATGAATGAAGATGATGGGCTGGGAAAATATTAATCCAGGTTGGTTATTTAACATCTGCCTTATTTAAGTTGACACTATTGAAGTTACCTGCTTGGCACAATGAAACTCCCCAGTTACATTTTGGTTTATCGCCGATTTTTCCTCGTAGTTTTCACTCTATTGATTTTACTTCCGCTGCCTATCATCCTTCACACAAAGGTAAGTGAACTTGGAAAATAGGCTGGTGGTTTTCCTGATTTATTTTAAGTGCCCTTTATTGTTGCTGTTTAATTGCCTGGCTAAGAGCTGAAAGACTGGTGATATTTTGTGTTTGAAGTTAGTATGGTTGTACATCATGTTTTGTCCAGTTTCTTCCTTTTTAATGTTTAACGTTGGCTGATTCTCAGTATGATTAACTAGAATAATTAAATAGAATGCTTAATCAGAATTGTTCTTTGCCTATCAACTAGATATGAGGAAGAATAAAAGACAGAACATTTGGGATCTTGCTGTTCAAATTTTCAACCTCCAAGGAGCACCTGGGTTAGCAAATCTCTTCTCTGAGAATAAGCTTTCTGAGATCCTGGGAGCAAGAGCTGAAGGGACAGTGGAAGTCTCAGGGTCCAACACAGGTGACTTGTCATCTCTGTGGCTTGGTGTGAGTCACAGAATTCATTAGAAATTTAGTTTCTTCATCAGATGAGAAGTCATTGAAAGCATGAAGTATTTTCCTTGGTTAAATAAGAAAATCTAATAGGTCATTATACTGTGTTCTGAAAAATTCAGATTTTCTTTCATTTCTGGGTACTTGTAGGAATTTTTTCTTTTGCTTTGAATATAGTCTATTAAACACAGAATAATAGACTCAGCACATTCTTTTTTTTTTTTCCTTTTCTTTTTTGCCTTAGGGCATATGCACTTACCAGAGAGAGACAGAGAAAAGGAAAGTGAGAAATCACCCTCTTCCAGAGGATGGCAATGCTGCAATCCCTTCTCCTCTATTCTCTCCAGATTTTGGACACACATACACACAGGCACAGTATGATTTTCAAGCCACTGGGTCCAGGACTCGAACTGTGGAAGTCCAGAGCCCTAACCACCATGTAACCTAGTGGCCCCTCAATGCATTCTTTATCTCTTGAAAAAGTTATTTTAAAAGGCAAATATATACTAAGCACCTTTTCTATGCCAGGCACAAGTGTCATTTGGTGGTTAGAAGTCCTAGGCTGTTTGCCTCAGATCTTAACTTTACCACTTACAAGCTATGTGACCTGGGCAAGTTACTTAACCTGTTTGTGCTTCTGTTTCCTCACATGGAAAATAGTATTTTATAGAAAAGGAGAATATACTTCATTCCAGAAACCTATGGGCATAAATCAAATAGAAACTCAAATATAATCCTTATGAGTTCAGTATTATGCAAATTTTGTATATTAGACATTTTGCAGATTAGAAGTCTGGCCACAGAGATGTTTCCAACTAACATCTTATTCTGGAGCCAATGATGTTTCTAATTTTTTCCCTTTATTTATTACAGTGAACATGTACATGCATGTGAGAGTGAAGATGAGCCCTCTTCAGAGAGTCTGATCATATCATGATCCCCTTCCTCCAGTCCTCCAGTCTGTCAGATCTTGGAGATTTGTGCTGTCTGGTGTGTTTCAGATTGACCAGGCTGGGGATCTGATCCATGGTTACCATGCAGAATCCTACTTCTATTGAGCAGAGACTCACCACTATGCCACAGAGCTAGTCCAAGAGTCAACAATCTTAATTGCATGCCTTTACAGCTTTCATGACAGTAACAAGTATATTACTAATACATTAGTGTAAATGCTTTGCTAATGAAATTCTTTTTTCTTATGGATTTACATGGAAGCATCAGAAATTCTTTTTAATTATCACCTAATCATAAAGTACTTTTAGTCCTTCCCTAATTAATAGTTAATGGTCAATAAACAAACCTGTAATGTAACTGCTATTTATTTGAATTAGATAATCACACTAATTTTTTCTTTTTGTAGGAGAGATTTCTTAACCAGTTCCAGATAAAAACTTCTCAAATCTGGCCAAAGCTATATGCCATAGTTCTAGGCTACCCTCTGTGCAACTTTGTTCTTTTATGACTATTTTTAGTATTTTGTTATTTTTCACTCTTTTTAGTACTCAGTATGTTTTCCTTTCTTATTTTTCCAGTTATTGGCTTTTCTTTGTATTGCTGTTCATGAAACAAAATGATGTTTTAAAAAGTTAAGTTTGTAAGAGCAGAAGATTGCACAACAATACATTATTTGTAGAGTGCATTTCTTCCATGCAGGTTTTACCCCATTAGTCAGGACTGATTAATTTAAGACACCAGGAAACAACCACACATGAGCATCATTGCCTAGTTGATAGATTGTAAAACCAAGATAAGATTTTCATTTTTTGGGGGGGTGGGGTACTTTTGACTTTCTCTGGAAAGTATTTAGCACAGTGGAAGAGTTGATACAAAAGAGCATTAGTGCTCCAGAACAGCAGGGATTAGGGACGAGGGATGCAGTTTAAAGGACCAGCTCTATTTCTGCCCCTGTCCCACGCTATGTCTCCCTCAAAGTACATTGACTTGAAACATCATGACATTCAAAGTTAGAATGAAAATTATAGTAAGTAAAAGAAATTATACCTAATGAGAGGCCTATGGTGTAGTATCTAAAAAAATAAATAAATAAATAAATAAGAATAAACAGATAGGAGAAGTATAATAATTGTAAAGAAATGTAAACCTTAAAGAGATAATGGATCTACTAGAAAGGAAAAGTGGTAGGCTGGGAAATCCGTCACAGAAAATAAGAATGAGTGAGAGAGAGTTGAAAAACCCTACAAGAGAAAGACGAGGTTGGGGAGAAATTCCAGAAAAACATAATTTTATTTTTTTTGTGAGGAGAGGTTTTTGCTATAGGGCCCATGCACTTGCCAGAAAGACAGAAAGAGACAGAGAGACAGAAAGCAAGAAATCACCCCCCAGGGGGGATGGCCACGACACAATCCTTTCTCCTCCACTCTCCTCTCAGGATCTTGAGCACACATGCACATGTGCGTGGCGTGAATTTAAGCCACCAGGTCTGGGACTCAAACCATAGGACTCAAACCATGTTTGACTACATGGGAGTCCAGGAACATAGCCATCACGCCAACTGCTGGTTCCAAACATAAGGAATGTTTAAAGAGCTAAGTCAAATAATTAAATACATTAGTAGAAAAAAAAGATATTATTTTAAAATACTGTAGAGATTTAATGTAAAGGGGGGAAATGCTATAAGCTCCAAACGAGTGAACATTTTTCATACAAAAGAGCACAGCAATACTGCAGGTCAAGAAAGGAAAAAGGAAGAATGAGGGAAAGAAAAAAACAAAAAAGAAAAAAATTGAAAGTAGAAATCATGCTAATAGTAATGTGGTAAATGAACAAAACCAGAAAATCCAAATATCATCTATTTTTATTTCAAAAATATTTTATCAAAATTCCTTAAGCCTAAAGTACTGTGCAACATGAATTGTGTGATATAAACAGAAGTTTAAACTGATCTTTTTGTCTTTAAGAAGCTTGTAGGATTGCTAAAAAGTCAATACATACCATGAAAAACATAAATCACAAAATGAGATGATAGAAAGATACGTACCAAATGGCTCAAGCAAATCATTTGTGCTATAGACATGTCATTGCAAGGCGGATAAAGCACTGAAGAGTCACCACCTTTTAGACCCTCTATTCCCCAAACCGCACCCAATCCCACTCACCCACCACCTGCTACTCCTTGTCTTTTCCCTATCTCAGAGGATGCAGCTACCCTGCACCCTCTTCACAGCCTTGAAACCTAGGAATTATCTCAGATGCTTCAAATACCATAAGCCCCATCACTCAGACTGTGTTGTATCTTCTGGGTCTTGATGTTCCTCAGTGTTCTCTCTCACCCCACCTGCCTTCCCCTCTCCATGCCTGCTGACTGTTTCTTTGAGGCTGTCTTTTCCTCTCTATTCCTGTCATAGACCACTGTTCACACTCTAAATTTGGTCTTATTGTACCCCAAACCAAATTTCTTCAATAGGTCCTCTTTGCCTATGGAGGGAAAAAATATCTAAACAATACATGTATACATCAATGTGTATATATTGAAGATTTTTTTCATTTATTTGTGCTAGTAACTCTCTCCCAAACTCCCACATTCACATTTTCTACCTCAGCAATACTTCACTATTTGTAATCTGTAGAATATTCTTGACTCTTCTTGCCTTTGTGACTTTGCACATGTTATGTCCACTTGCTGGAATACCCTTTCTTTTTGTCCTGTCCTTTTTTCTGCATTTTTTACATTTATTATTATTATTTATATATTCAATCACTATGCACCATTTAGATTGTAAAGAGACTTTACTCAGCATGATATTCTCAACTGTTCAGCCCAGTTGAGAATACAATCCACGTCCTCATCAACAGATAACAGACCATATCTGTGTCCCACGAATGTCTTACCTATTTTTTCCCCCAAAATTTCCTTTCCTACACTCTTCCCCTCCCACTCTGTCCCTTGGAAAGGGGAGGCTCAGGCTGGGCTGTGAACTGAGGCTCCTCCTGAATGCTCTTGTTGCATTGTGGAGACACTGGTCTCCCTCATAGGACATAATTCATTTAGTTTTCATCTTTGCTTCTTCCTCCGGATGGTAAATACCTCAAAATATAGGACACAGTGTCCAGCAGATGGCATAATGGTTACATCACTGGACCCCCCACATAGTCAACCGTGGTTTGAGTTCCAGACCCAGCAGCTTAAAACTCATGCAGGGCACGTGAACATGCCCAAAGTCCCAAAAGAAGAATGGAGGACAGGGATTGAGGCGTACCAATCTCCCCAGGGTATGATTTTTTGTTTTCTGTCTCTCTGTTTCTCTGTTTCTCCTATGAGTGCATGCTCTCTATAGCAAAAATCTCTCTTAAAAAAAAAAAAGCATAGGGCACATTGTTTACCTTTTGTACCTTCCTGTCATACATAATGCCTTTCACATAGTGTATATAATCCTGCTGAGGGGCTGGATGCATCATGCTGCATGGCAGAAGGATGTGAGAGTTACACTAGCTCTTGTAGAAAGGGTAAGATACAGGAGAAAGAAGGTGATGAAAAGAAGGAAATTCAAAGAGTAAAAGGAATGACTCAGGGATCTAAAAGGAACAAGGGTGTCTC